TTTTATATTTGGATAACACACAGCCCATTACCTTTTTACAGGTTACAAAAGCTGCAGTAGTGTAAAGAGATATTACGTGTTTCGCAATGGCTGCCCTAGCATAGAAAATGCAGGAAAAGAGAGTTAAAAATTCAGCAGAAGATGTAGCCAAGAGCTGAAGCTGCAGTGCACAGCCCTGAGCTTGTACCAAAGGCTTCTAAAGTGTATAGGAGGCACCTCAAACCTTCACACATCTGTCTATAGTATAGGGCCATAGCTATACCCTATGTGCATGATACTCAGCTGGCTTTAGACTAACTTTACATATCTGAGACTGTAACTTTGGCAGACCGTTGGTATCTGAACAAGCTTTAAACAATGCATACATACCCCAGTATACACAATACAGTTCAGCTGCACTGTAGATGGATTACAAGGGTTCACATGGACCATCATGCTATACATTTAAGGAATGCTTCACTCAACTTTGAAACAGGGGCATGTCTTGCTGAAATATCAGCCATTCAAAAAACAACAGTAGTACACAATTTCTAAACACTTGAGTGGATAGGATGAAACCCACTAACTGGAATATGGTAAAAGATGTTACACAAAAGTCACTGCTCCATTTGAGGGCCAGAAGCTTCTCAAACTTGTACCTCAGTAAAAAGGGAGTCTTCTCCACAGAAGCAACAGGACATCCACAGTAAGAAAATGTTATATGTGGAGAAAGAATCAAATCACTACTCTAGGAGAGTTGTGTTGCATCTGTTGACTTCTGTGATACTGTTTTTTCCATGTGTTTCTCTCCCTTCAGTGCAGACACTGCTATTTAAACCAAACCCTCACTCACCTTAGATTTCTCCTGATGTAGTTCGATTTGAATGTCTGTTAGCTTAGTCCTGAGTTCCTCATTGGCAGCCTGCAGGGCAAGAATCAGTGCCTCAGGCTTTTCGCCCTTGCTACGTCCTTTTTTTGACATGGTTGCTTATGAGCGAGAGTCCACGTGTTTAATTATTTCAAATATGGACTGCCATTTTTTTCTGTTCCTTTCAGTGCCAGTTAGTTCAGCACCTACTGCATGACGTTCCTTAAGGTCCTGGACTCAGCTGCTTTGGAAGCCCTGTGAGAAATAAGACATACTATTATTTGTCAGTGGACACTGCAGCATGACAGCTCACATGGTTACAGAACACAAGAAACAGCTCACTTCTCCAAACACTGCAATCTTTGTCTGAAAACCTGCAAGGGAGATCCCAGCACAATCAGGCTTCTGTATGCAAGCCTGGCATACTAGTGGAGATTCCATATGTGCCCTTTTCCTGTTCCCGGAACAGGACGAACCATGCAATGAAGGTAGGAGTTTGTTTGCCATAAGGATTAGTGCTGTTGAGTACAGGACTAGAAAGGACAGGTCATTTAATCCAAGCCTTGCAGTCTCAGGTAACCACAAAGCAGGCACTTTAGTCTCAAGGATCTACCGACACTATCTTCCTCCTGCCCTTCCCAACCCTTGATCCCCTCAAGATCCTAAGCCAAACTCAAAGACTTCCCACAACACACCTACAATCTGCCACAGGAAGAGAGGGGAAGCACCGAAGTCCTCACCAGCGTTCTGGGTCTCTGTAGAAGCAGAGAACTAACAACATGCAAAAGCTTCTATCAGACTAGAAATTGTTCCCTTTGCAAAAAAAAAATAAATCCGCCAATGGTTTCCATCAACTGAATTTACTGGCAAAAATTCTGTCCTAAGCCAAAGTGATGCAGTAATCTTAAACCCAAGCACAGCAGCAAGATATGCAGATCAGGAAGCCAAGGGGTTTTTCTATACCACTAAAAACATGAGTGTCCCTCTGTCCCATATACTTAATTTTATTTTATTTTTTTTTTTTAGTATTTGTCCTTGTTATTGGCACTGACTGACAGCCTCAGATAAAGAGGTATTCTGTCTACCTGCAAAATAAACATGGATTTGATAAGCTCCCTAGAAACTTCTGTGTCCGTGTGTCTCAGTACTGAACAAGGATTGAGATGGTGCCATGTTCGTATTCACACAGTCACTCCAACATTCCTACCACATCCATGAAACCTGCAGCAATGACACGCGTCCTTTGAGACCGAGCAGAATCCTCAGTAAAGAACGTCATTGTAAACTGAAGCAAGCAGATTCACTACTTCTTGCCATACTGATCCTGCTATCCTGAAAACACTCTTATATCACCCAGGGCTTCCCATGCTGCTCCCAGTTACAATGCCTCTGAAATCTTGGCACTGCATTGTATACATACAGCTACAAACGAGAGCAGGATCTGATCCACATTTCCCACAATGCTTCATATTCAATACTGGTAACAACAGACCTAATCATGCTAGTGACATGAAGACTTTTTCACCAGGAGGGCTGCAGCAGTACAACATCAGAGCTGAGCCTGCTGTAGGTGCAGATGATCGAGAAATAAAATGGGCTTTGGAAAGCAGTTAATAAAAATGGCTTGTTCTTGTCATGTATCATGTGACAGAGTGCATACAGATCTGATTTAGTGCTGGCTTGGAAAAAAATCAGGCCAGATGGGACAGAAATGGTCAAGAAAGCAGAAATCTTTGGCTGTCAATGCTAAATAAATACTAATACATGAAGACTTGTTGGGTTTGAGCAAAGGATGACACTTTCACCAGATTAATCATGCAAAGGATGGCTTTTGAGAAAGAAAACAGTACCTAGGCAAAGCAGTAAGGACAATAGGTTTAAGAAGTCACAGCCAATTATCTCCTGCATAGGGGAAATGATTCTTTGCTGTGTTGTTTAAGATCCCTAGCCACCCTGAAAACAGAAGGAGCTTTTGGAGACTCCTCTGGCCCAGAGGCCTCTTCAGCGTAGAGCACAAGAGGCTTTGAGCACACGTGGGAGCTCTCGCTGGCAGAGGCTGCCCTCACAACCAGCACACTTCAACAACCTCTGCAGCTGGCACACAGCACCAAGGGCAGCCCCACAGTCACAGACACCACATCACATCCTGCAACGAGCCACCATCAGGGCAGTCTCCTGGAGACTAGCAGCAGTTCATAAAAGATTGATGTTTTCATTCAGGTATGAGACACCTTGGATGTTTAGGCTTGAAAGAATAGAGATGGATAACTACAGATATCATCACCATGCAGATGGAACGCTGCAGTGCTACCCAAACAGCTACTGCATACAGACTGTGCAGACTGGAAGAGCAGCAAAAAGAGCTCACATGAAATGGCAACAGAGCGTGCACACTGAGTCAGGAAAAGAACACGGTAAAGGGAAAATCTAGAATGAGGTGCAAAACTCACATTCTCAGTCCTCTACAAAAGGGTAATTTAGTCCCTAACAGCCAATGAAACAGGCATTTATATTTTTTCTCTGCAGATGTAAAACACAGATTTAGTGTTTGTATACAAAGCCATTCTAGAGGCAGCGGTGATACGCTGTAGCACTGAAATAGAAACTTCTGCTAATGCACCAGGGCCACACAGCCCAAATGTGGCTTGGATGCTATTTACCAGGGAGTTTGTGTGATTACTTCTGCTGCCTCTTTCCAGACACGAAGTCAGCAGTCAGCCACCGCTCTGACTTACCAGACTTTTCCAGTTTTCCCTGAGAGAAATTTAGAAAGCTAATCAAGCAGGGATGGATTAGGGGAAAAATACCCATTGAAAAAAGTAAAGAGAACTGAGGCAAAATTTCTGTTACCTGCAAGTTGAGCTCCAGGAAACATTCCTGACAGTGGAAAATGCTTTAACAGAAACAGAGAAGTATTTCCAAGCCTAGGAAAGGCACAGTACCACAGAGGAAAAAGGAATGAGAGGGGCCTAATTGGTCACTTCCATCTTCTAGTGCTATTCTTCTTGGATTACTGAAATAAAGTAACTACCTCCCAGGATGCCAGGGGGATGACATTAGGCCTGAAATACATTAATAAAACTGATGTTACAGCAGATACAACATGTATGTGAAGCTACACACGCACATACTCCATTGAGTAGAAAGAGCAGGCTGCTTCATTTTTATCTCCTCTTCTAGAATAACACCCAGAAGATGTTAGCCTGTAGTTAATTGAAAAAAAAAAAAAAAAAAAAAAAAAAACCCAAACAAAAAAACCCACCAAAACCCACACTATTTGCAGAGCTTTACTCTGTCGGAGAGGAACGTGGGAGCTGTAGCGTCCAACATTGACCAAAACATACCTATAAAACTCAGACTGCTGTCAGTCACTTCATCATCTTTTTTGCTTCCTTACCTGCATTTCCTTTCCAAAAAGCACTTTGCATTTCTCTGTTAAATTCCCTCACTTCTCCAGCTTTCACCTCTCCCAAGACCTTTTTGAAGATCAGTGTCCTACAGGGCTCCTCTCAGCACAGGGCTGAGGTTGCCTCACAGTAAGGGTGTAGCCCTGCTCTCATTTAAGCCCTTGGATGTTCTGTCACTTAGAAAGCCTGCACATCAATATTATGTGCATTTTAGGCAAACAGAGGACCACGCTGTACCTCTAGGATTGCCTTACTGTCACTGGAGTCTCCTGGTTCATCTAA